TACCGTAATCATCGGGGTCTTGGCACACTGTGCGGTCGCTTTTTTAAATGTTTCGAACTTCAGACTTTTTCGCACAGGTGTGANCTTTTTTTCACATTGTTGTGCATCGCTGGTGAAAACATCAAAGCAAACCCGCAGAGCGTTANTAAATATTTTGGTTCTAAGAAACAACGCACACCCCTGTGCCAAGACCCCCAAANCTTGGCACACTGTGCGGTCGCTTTTTTAAATGTTTCGAACTTCAGACTTTCTCGCACAGGTGTAAAAAGACCCCGATATGTGCCAAGTTCGCGATACCTGTGCGGAAATGCAGTAAACATTTTGGTTCTAAGAAACAACGCACACCCCTGTGCCAAGACCCCGATATGTGCGGTGCTGTTAAATCCAATTCGGCTGGTACGGCGACTTTCGAACGCACACCCCTGTGCCAAGACCCCGACATGTGCGATCCTAACATTGAAAACCACAGGGTATAGCAGCACTTCGCCTGTATGGTATTGCTGCAACACGATCACAACACAACCAACAGACAAGCTAGTAGCTGCACACACAAACGAGTCTCGGGGAATTGCCACTACAACAGTTCCGTGGCGGTGAAATACCGGCGAAAAATCGAGAAAATGCCCGGGACGGAGCTGCGGGCTCGACCACACGCAGCGCGCGGCTACGATGTCGGAGGGTGCAAGCACGGGACCTGCCGCCGCCTCACAGACCTCACATGCCTCACAGGCTAGTGCTGGCGGTCCTTCCTCTGCGGATCAGGGAGCTGCCGCTGCGGACCCGAAGGCAACCGGCGAGGCTATCGATAAGATGCTAGCCGCCAACGACCCCGTCAAAAACAGCAACGGCAAACGCGCGTACCCGGAGCCCAACTTCCCGATCGAGCGGTCAGGAGCATGGGAGGGAAAGGTAGCTACTNCACAGCAACGGCAAACGCGCGTACCCGGAGCGGAGGGTGCAAGCGCGGGACCTGCCGACGCCTCACAGGCCTCACATGCCTCATAGGCTAGTGCTGGCGGTCCTTCCTCTGATGATCAGGGAGCTGCCGCTGCGGACCCGAAGGCAACCGGCGAGGCTATCGATGAGATGCTAGCCGCCAACGACCCCGTCAAAAACAGCAACGGCAAACGCGCGTACCCGGAGCCCAACTTCCCGATCGAGCGGTCAGGAGCAGTGGGAGGGAAAGGGAGCTAACCCATCCGGTGCAAACTGAACGCGGCGGCCTACACACGGGAGATCTGCCCGTGCGACGGTCAACCGCTGGGAAACAACGGCGCGGCGAAAGTTCTCCAGGTGCCTCGGAAGCGTATCATCGAGTGGCTAAAGCAGGAGGAGCAGCTCAGGGAGAAGGTCAGCGCCAACCCCAAGCTTTCGAAGGCCAAGCAGGTTCACAGCGGAGGGAAAGCTTCGACAGTCGACGCCGAACAAGCCCTTGTGGACTACATCAATGAGCAGCGCAAGCAGCACCGCGGTTGTGGTAATCGGGAGGTGATGAACAAGCTGCTCGAGCTGAAGCCTGACGCCCTTGGCGGGATGCCGGCGAACGCGAAACCGGAGGAGGCGCTGGCTTTCAAGGTCAAATTCAACTCCTGGTACCAACGGTTCCGCAAGCGGAATGGGTTCAGCATCCGCCGGCGTACCAGCGTGGGCCAGAAACTGCCGAAGGGGGACGAGGGTATGGCGTGGGCGACGGTGATGAAGCTGCGCGAGGCTCTCGTAAAGCGCGCCGGTGAGATCTACGCTCGGCGCCACCCGCCGGCACCTGACGAGAGCCCCATCAAAGGGGAGGATCTGACTTCCGAGCAGCTGGCGTCTGTGGAGGCGGAGGTTTTCGAGGAACTCGGCAACATGGACCAGACGCCAGTCCAGCACGAGATACCGGTGGAGACCACTCTGGAGAAGACCGGTGCGAAGGATGCTCGCATCAGCACAGGAGGTGAGGGCGAGCTAATATTTTTGTCAAAATTTTGTGTGGTGTGCGGATTTTTTGTCGTTGGACAATTTTTTAAGACACATGTTTTTTTTTTGCGTGCCGGTACACGGTGCGATGTAGCTCTATCGGTAGACACAGGAGGGTTGCTACCTTTTTCTGCGGGATTATTCTACACTTCCTTTTTCATTGCATCCAAACTATCAACCAACTTAGTTTTCGAAACGTCCGGTACCGTTTGCATCCATTGTATCAACCACGCACCGCTGTCCTCGCAGAAGTATTGAACACTCTACTTCCCCCCCCCCCTCCCCTCGCGTTGATTTTTTCCCCCTCCCCTCAGGCAAAGAGAAGGAACGCTTCACGCTCGTTCTGGCTGTCATGGCGGACGGCAAAAAGGTTTCGCCGCGCATCATCTTCAAGGGCACGCCGTTCACCCCCCCGACCGTGAGCGGCAAGGGCAAGAGCACCCTGCCGCGGAAGAACTCCGTCGCGTGGGAGATCCATCCTGCGAACCGCGCCAAGCACGGCCACCCTGCCAACGGCATGTCCTTCGGCGTGCAGGAGAAGAGCTGGAGTGACCAGCGGGAGTGCAACGGGTGGATCTCGGGCAGCTGGAAGCTCCGTCCCAACAACGGCAGCATCGTCCAGCAGCGCCCGTGCATCCTGGTGCTGGACGACTTCAAGTGCCACAAGGACGAGGGTTTCATCGCCGCCCTCAAGAGAGACGCCAACACCATCGTCATCTTCATCCCAGGCAGGTTGACGCCCTTGCTCCAACCGCTCGACCGCATGCTCAACAAGCAGATGAAGCGGCTGCTGCGGCGGAAGTACACCGCCTACAGCGCGTCGGCGGTCGCAGACGCCCGGTCGGGGAAGCTGAAGCCACCGGAGCGTGGGGTCGTCTCTACGTGGTGCAAGGAAGCGTGGGAGTCCAGCACCCCCGAGACGGTGAAGACTTGCTTCATGATCTGCGGTCTCACGCTCGCGCTCGACGGCAGCGAAGACCACGCCTGGTGCGAGCACAACTTCGGGGAAGACTACCGCGACCTTCTCGAGGAGCAGCGCGCCGTGTGGCTCGCTGAGCACGCCGACGTGACTCTCCCGCCGCTCAAGCTGCCGAAGGTACCAGGGGGGTTCGACTCCAACCCCATCACGGCTGCTCAGAAGGAGGTCGAGGGGAAGCTGCTGCCCTACGTCGCTGATGAGAGCGACAGCGAGGTGGAGGTCTTGGAGGGCGACAGCGACGTGGAAGTCGTGGAGGGGCAGGGGGGCGGGGGCGCCGAAGGAGAAGTAGTCGAACTTTGAATCATAGTTCTTTGGGATTGCCAGTGAGATTGGATGTTTTTGCGATGGTAGGGGCGCGAGCACGAAGTAGAGTTCAACCCGCCTAGGAAGTACAGTAGTAGGACGTTGGTAGCTCGTAGTGGTAGTTTGGTGTGATTTTTTGCTTCTTTTTTGGTTTCATCTTCGTTTAGAATTGTTGAGTGGATGCCGTTTGCCGATTTGCCGATTTGCCGATCTTGATTCTTCAGAACGAAAAGAAGAGAACAAAGAGTACAAATACCACATTTTTGAACATCGTCATGGTGCCAAGGGCGGCAGTAGCAGTGGAGCACGCGATTCAAGCTCCCACAGTATCCGGAATTTCCAGCAAAAGATGCTGGTGAACGGGTATCACTTACCGCAAAACCTCACCGCACATATTGGCGTCTCGCACAGTGCGCGGAGACGACGATACCTGTGCGGTAATCTAGCAAATCATTCGGAACCCAGCTTTTTTTCCGCACACCCTGAGCCATGACCCCGATATGTGCCGAGACCCCGATATGTGCCAAGACCCCGATGACTACGGTATGCTCACCTGACTCGTCCGTGTTCCAAGCGTGGTCGGGCTCCGGCTTGTGCTCGTGGACGAACTGTTGTCAGAAGTCGTAGAACTTGTGCACACGCTCATCTTCCAGAGAGGTCATTCTGTTGGCCTCGTAGATGCGGGCGAGTCGAAGGCTGATGCGCTCGTGCCTTCCGAGGAAATCAGAGAGCCAGGCCTTCCCCGGCGTTGTCCGGGTCCCACGGGATCGGCCGACCGTCGTTCCAGAGCTGTCTCACACGCACCTGGAGGTCTGCCTGGGTGAGAGGAATATAGTTCCGACCAGCCTACAGCAGGACATCTTCCATCCCATCTTCCTCCGCTTTGGTCAGCATAGTCCCGTGGTCAACCTTCGTGTCCATCGCGCACTCACCGCTCAGGCGCCGCAGCAGCGACGTCCCTTTCACCCCGACGGCAGCAGCAGCGGCCTTGCGCGACATGCTGCCGCTGCGGACCGCTTCACAGCCCTTCGCAGCGGCTGCGGGATCAACTCTAGACCGGCCCATGCTTAGCAGCAAGGCCGAGAAAAGTGCTAGGGTACGCCAAACCATGCGTGGTGGCGCGTCTGTCGCTGTGACTCGTGATGGGAAAGTCGGATCGTCGCGCGGAGGTGCGCAAACGAAAGCTAACGCCCCGCGAAAAATCCAAAAATAGTTTGCGAGGGGCCGGCAGATATTCACGTAGATATGCAGGTTTTAAATAAATGTGTCCATTTAGGGGAGGGGGGGGGTGTACTCATAGTCGTGCATGCCGCAGTCGTTAGACCATTGACCTCGCATCCCTACAAAGCCGGGACGGAGCACGCCGGGTTCTCACCGGACCAGGCTCTCACATCACCAAGCGCGAAGCGCCGTGAGATATTCGGCGAGTCGCATGAAGGGTGCGCTGCATCCTGCTAAGGGTTTTCGGCATCTTGTGCTTACTTCCTTGCGTACGGATGACAGCTGCGTATGACTTAATTTATTTTCTCGTGCTTTCACTTCCAGAGACAGTTGTAAGCACTGTGTAACTGCCTCGAGGGTGCTTGACCATTTTAACACAACGTGGTGCGATCATCCCCCTTGCGCGGAGTGAGGATTGCCCACCCCGCACAACATGATCTACTCGACCACCGTTATGGTTACCGCCAAAAAATAAAAAACGAAGGTGAAAAAAAAATCGGTAACCTGGTTGCCAAGTTCACGAAGTGAATTGGCTTGTTTTACAATGTCGTTCTCAAGCGACGAAAACCCAA